GGGGGGTGCAGAGCGGAGGCCGGGATTCTGGTGAGAGAGTGCAGTGAAAGCAGATGAGAACAGGAAAAGGGCAGAGAAGAATGGTTTATAGAGGCAGGAGTCGATCCCGAAACCTTTCGATTAAGAGGCGAACATTGTAATTTTGACCACAAGAGTCCCCTACACATGGTTTTTTTTCAATCATAATATTATTTATTTCAAGAATAGATAAGGAGCTGCTTATGATGTTTTAGTCACCACCTCATAACAATAACATGCAGGATGGGTTTTTCAAGCTTAACTATTCATCTGAAGAAATACGTTCGGCAGAAATAGACTGCCTCCCACGCAGGAGACTTTTGCTAATCACCAGTATAAACCGAAACTCACGTAGGCCTAATTATGTTTTCCATCCGCGAGAAGTGAACAATCCATAAATTGAAAGCGGGACGGTAGCCTTTTTTCCCTGGTTGCATTAAAATTTCTTGTGGGCTTGGGAATTCCCGTTCGCATGAGGACAACTGAGACAGCAGATCTGAGGTGTCGGGCCTACTCGAAGTCTACTAATACAAAGAGGCCCATCAGAATTTACGAAAATGTTTACGTATAATAATATATTTCTAAGAAGGGAGACAGAAAACGGAACACTCTGTAAATGAAAGTTTATAACTTTATATTATATTACCGCAGAGCAGTTCAACATGAACACGGCATTTTTAAAACGGACTTCTTTTTTCCACGAACGAAAATCCAATGTCTGGGGTATCCTCAATATAATGAACACACACCCATATTATGTGTCTGTGTGCGCGCGCGCGCGCGCGCGCGCGCGCGTGTGTGTGTGTGTGTGTGTGTGTGTGTGTGTGTGTGTGTGTGTATAAGTGTGTGCGAGTGAATGACAAAGAATGACAGAAAGAAGGAGAGAGAGAGAGAGAGAGAGAGAGAGAGAGAGAGAGAGAGAGAGAGAGGCTTGCAGCTTCAAAACTTCAGTTACTTTTGTATACTATCAGCGCTAATCATTGGCCTGGGGCGTACCTTTTCAGACGTCTACAGATTCTTCTCAACACTGTGTACTATACAATAGTAACATAATGTCCCAATTATAAAGCGCCATCATCAATAATGCTGTCTTGTAGATGACGTTTATTTTTCTACTTTTCCTTCTCACTGAAATTGATGCTATTGTCATCCCACTAGAATCAGCGATTTAGTAGATTTCTCTATCACTCTTTAGTAAGTTCTCCTCTATTCATCACAGCAGTTGTAAGCAATAGTGAGGAATTGAGATCAAGAATTTTCGAAATACTCTTTCGACAAAAGCATAATTGCGTCATTGGTTTGCTATTGGTGAAGTATCAATAACATAGAGAATAACTTAAACTTGTGAGTACTTTAGAATTTGACCGTGAAGATAGCCCACAATGAAATAAGTCGGTTGTCTTTTGCCAAATCATATTTCTCGTTATGATAAAAACTCCAGCAAATTTTAACCCTTATCTTTGTAAAACAATTGTATGGACCTCTGAACTACAGAAAAAAGAAGTAACGCAGACTTACAATTCCTTGAGTTATATGATGTGACGTTCGCCTACTCAGTTTATGAGAAATTAAATTTTAAGAGATCCAACTTTACCAGCTAACAAAGTGTTGGGTTGAGAATCTTTTCCATCTTCAAAGATTATTATAATATTATACTCGGGCTTGTCGTCAGTGTAGCACATAACTATCTCATGTTGATTCATCTAAAGTTTAAAACAAATTAATGTTTGGTGCACTTTTTGGCCTTCGCCTTATCAAGTCCGAATCTACTACGTTCAGTGCTGACCATCAACTGTGCCTCTAGCAATTCTCATAAAGACTTCCAGTGCCTTGATGAGTTGCAAAACCCTTATCTGCTAAAGGTCAGCAGTCAGCGCTCCTGGACCCCTCCCATCTTTGGATTGTTACCTAAAGATAACAACATTTCGGGGACAGTATCCAGGGGGCTGAGTTAGTAAGTGCAACGATTTTGGAGAGATAGGACCATAATGGGGCGAATCCTGGTCATGGAATGTAATTCCATTTTCTTTTTATTGTGTTTCTTTGGGCATGTAATGGTGTCGTTGAGTCGAGTCGGCCCGTTTGCTTCAGCTGGTCACCTTGGAGAACCCCAGGTGTCTACATCTTACGGAACAGTGCAAGGAAAAACGGTCCAGCTGGACTCCTCAACGTACATTGACGTATTCCGGGGAATCCCTCATGCAAAGCCTCCCATAGGTATGCTTAATATGTTGTCTTAAATTTTCTTCCTCGTCTTTGTTAGATTGATTTCTTTTAATATTGACACGCAGTACAAATAAGGACTTCGTGTCTCTTAGTAATAACATGTGTTTAAATGGAAACTGAAATCGATTCTTACGGTTTACCCTATTGCTGTGCTTGATATTATTCACAGTAAACACTTTAAAATAAGGGGGAAAATTTTCTTTTAAAAACATGTTTAATACAGCAAACCAGGATGTTTATTTTTCCAGTATTCTGTCGACATGACTAAATCCTTAACAACACCAACATTCATTTTAAAATCTTCAGTGCCAAGGTTATTTGCTATACGGAGTGAGTCGTTGAGCTTTGTACGTCCACACTTGGGTGTCCGTGAGCGCTGTGGGACACGCCTCACAAAATTTTTATTGTCGTAAATTTTTCGTACTATTTTCTCTCTATTACTTATTGTGACAAAACCCTCTCATTAATGTTTTTCCTTTTACCATGAGGCAGTTGATAAAGTAATGTGTTCACTTGTTAAGTTGAGACTTGGAGTGCAGAGGTGCATATTAAAGGCTCAACAAATGGTATTGTATTTGAAAATCATCGTATTAAAAAAACAAAAACAACAGCAACTTAACGTTGTGCATAACTCACGTTTCTTAATCATGAATTATCACTCCTACTAAATAAGCTGTTAATTCAGTACGTTTAGCAATTCTTGATAGATCGTTTTTCTACCCAATACAACCTTCAGATGTTCCGCAATGAGTACTTCCTGCTAGATCGGGTATATTTAAAAAGAGCATGCCTCTTGAGTAAACTCTAGTTAAAGCTCTGGCTTTTTTATAACGACGATCATTATTCTTTTTCCAACAAAACCGGTATTATAATAAATAGGAATGACCAAAGCCTGTCCTCAGATAGCAGTTTTACTACATATTATGTTCGCTCTATCTTTCTTTCTTGTACTAGGCCATCTTCGTTTGAAAAAACCAGAACCCCCATTGCCATGGAAGGGCATGAAAAACGTGGGCCGAGACAACGCTATGTGTGTGCAGAACATGCACCCCGTCACGGGCGAAACTGAGGACTGTCTATACCTTGATGTATACAGACCTCGACTGACGAACTCTTCACAGTCATTGCCTGTGATGGTGTGGATACACGGTGGAGGCTTCAGACACGGTAGCAAGAACTCTTTTAATGGCAGTATTCTAGCTTCCCATGATGTCATTGTAGTCATAGTTAATTACAGATTAGGGCCGTTAGGATTTCTGTCTACAGAGGATGACGTTATTCCAGGAAATTTTGGCATGTTGGATCAGATTTCTGGATTGAAATGGGTTCAGTCGAATATAGCTGCATTCGGTGGAGACCCCAAATCTGTGACTATCTTTGGGGAAAGTGCTGGGAGTGCGAGCGTGTCTCTCTTAGTGTTGTCCCCCCTGGCCAGCGGTTTGTTTGCTCGTGCTATTATGCAGAGTGGTGTCTCCTCGACCTCACGCGCTGTACCGCCCCCCGGCGTACTTGTTTCACCGAAACAAATTGCTATGGCCGCAGGGAGTAAATTAGGTTGCCATCAACAGCCGGGTGTAGCGTTTTTGTCCTGCTTGCAACGACAAAGCGTTCAAGATTTATTCAATGCAAGTATAAAAGCTGGGTACAGTGATCATTCATCTAGTAGTTTCAGACCAAGGGTTGAGACCGTTTTTGGCTTCATGCCTGAGTACCCGTTGAACCTAATATCTCGGGGGCATTTTTCTCACGTTGACACGCTTAGAGGTTTCAATGCTCAAGAGCAAGGGAAAACTGTTTCCGATCCCGAAAACGACGGTCTCACAAGAGAAGAATTCCGTAAAGCTTGCCGAACACAGCTTAGAGACTTTCCTTATCTAGACATAGACAAATACGTTCAACTCATGGAAGACGTCTACTTGACAAATGTCACAGATCCAGTTGAGATTCGATCAAAGACTATAGAAATGAGATCAGATTTCACTTTTATTGGGCCTATAGTTCGAGAAACCCAGGTGTCCAGAAAGCACAATCATGAATCTAAATATTTTCTTTATCAGTTTAATTATAGAGCATCTTTTGTTAAAACACCGGAGTGGACTGGAGTCCTTCATGCGGCTGACAATCCTTTCGTGTTTGGGCTGTCGAGTAATCTTGCCGGTACTTGGCACAGAAAAACGACGGCAGCAGACGAGGAGATGGCGCGCGTGATGACCACAATGTGGACAAATTTCGCCAAGTTCAGTAACCCAACCCCCCATGGAAGCACGCAGCTACCTTTGGTCCATTGGAATCAGTTTTTCAATAATAGACCATCATATCTTTTGATTGACTCCCATCTGCAAAACAAGAAATTCGATACAGCTGAGAACGTAAAAATGCTGAATCTCTATGAAAGTACGGAGAAGGAATACATACACGCACTTGCTGCTGGTAACACTCCCATTATTGGGTGAAACTAATCACCATCAAGCAAATAAAATTCTCAGGAATTTTTATTTTTGTGTTTGTGTTTGTCTTTGTCTTTGAGCTACTACTTCTCCCAACAAGACTGAAGACATTTATATCGAACATGTAAAATAAATAAAGAGAGGAGAAGAAAAAAAATAGCAGAGAAAACACATCAAATCTATTAACATACCTATTATTTATATTTTGGAGCATAGGTCGTGTTCTTGCGCACACTTTTCGATCATTTAAGGGGTTACTTCTCATATTTGTATGTAATTGTTATTACATTCCCCCATCCCCCTTTACCCCCTTCCCAACTCCACCCGCGAACTACTCACGGAGATGACAGAAAGTATTTTCAAAAAGATGAGACAACCCTCAAACATCATTTGAGTTTTTCAAAAGTTCGCCAACAACTGTAATATTGCTGTCGGGATAGAAATAAAAGCAAAAAAACCCCCACAAAAAACCACACACAGTGGGAGGTAGCAAAAAGAGAGAGAGAGGTAGAGAAAAGAGGGACACAGAGAGACAGAGAGTTAGAGAGAGAGGGAGAGGGAGAGGGAGAGAGAGAGAGAGAGAGAGAAGGGGGTGGGAGGAGTTTGAGAGAGAATGTGAGTTAGAGAGAGAAAGAGGCACACACACAAACACAAACACACACAAACACACTGCATTTATATTTCATAAGTTTATCTACAGTAAACATATTAATATAAACATAATCATAGGTCCCTGCTCTTGTGAGGGTTCTGGCCAACAGCCGAGTGTGTCCCTAATCTCAAATATAAATGGATTCGATGGCAACGTTCCATGCACTGAATTAACCTTGCGATATCCCGAACGACTGGATACGTTCTAGGGCCTCATGTAGATAAAAGAGAACAATAGGACGATAATATGTACCATCTAGAGAAGCGAACCATTGACTATGAGTGTGTTTATCGCTAACATTTTGTGCTTAAAATCCTAAATCGTATTTTATTTCGTGATACAGAAGATTAACTAGATGATAATGATTTAACCAACTCTGATGACGCTCAGATCATCTTAATATGCTGTAGCTTGTTCATGGCCGATAAGATAAACCAGGGAAAAAGAGAATGGAGTACATGTATGTGTTCGAGGGAAGAGGGGGGGGGG